ACGCCCCCCCCCCCCCCCCGGCTCTCTCTTTCTTTCTTTCTCTCAGTCTCTGTGTGTCTCTCTCCCTCAAGCCTAAAAACCCAGGTAGTCAACGCACTCAGGAACGGGCAGCGCCGCATTTCAGCAGACATGCTGCTGGAAATTTACACTGGTGCGAAGTCGATTTGAGAACCCAACACAAGAAATCATACTATTTCAACCTTAACAGCCAAGGCTCAAACTCGCGAGCTCGACATTCAATCCGACAGGCAACCTTATCTTGTAACTAATCTGCAACGCATTATGCTGTTACAGACAGGCAGACAGATAGGCAAATAAACAGACGAGGGACAGACAGGCTGACTGAGAGATTGAAAGATACATGAATATATAGAACATCTTTACTAGGACTAGGTAGTGTGAGCTTTTCCAAGCAAGCGTTCCAGCGCAGTAGTACTCAACATCGACGGTTATGACACCAGTATATCTGGTATTCCAGTATCACAGCACCAGCAATAGCAGTAGAGAGAGCAGCGAAGGCAGGTATCCTTATCACCAAGGAGCGGGGTGGCATTCATCATGTGGTGCTTCACACATCCACGGCACATGTCGTAGCCCCGCGTTCGGCAGCTCCAGCGCACCTACGCAATTCCTGAAAATCCTCCTCAAATGTACAACCACCGGTGGGTCGTGTTCTGCTCCGTATCTCTGTGTTCGATCCTTTAGGGCACAGCAGCTTATCGACGACTTACCTATAGCTCCAAGATGCATGTCAAACCGGTGTTGGTGGCATTGCAGCATTGGTTTTTGCGGACTGGGGAAGGTGATTGGAGGATGAGGCCACAAGCCGACAAGGGCGCTGTGGTTAATTCCAAACCTCACTGAAAACGCGCTGCTTCTTCGGCCACATCTCTACTCCAAAGCCCCCTGTAGTCCACTTGCGGCACTGTTCGGGCGAGCGAAAACCTTGAGGGACTCTTGCGGCCGAAGCTATTGGACTCGCAGACTCTTTGTATCCCTGTCGAGATCCTGCCTTTGGACCCTCCGACTCGCGTGTGCAGTGCGGAGAGCGGTCGTCGCACCACCACGTGGTTGAGCCATTGTCAAATTTTTTCAGCTCCTCGGGCTACAGCTCGCGACACTCAGGCTGTCCCGCCCCAACCAGCCCCGCGTGATCACCATCCGACCAGGCATGGCCAACGGTCAACAGGTCACGCTGCTGCTTCTGACTGCTGCCTTGTTACAAACGCAGAGGCATCGGACTTGGACAAGCAAAACGCAAATGCCCTGAAGAGTAAGGGAACAGGGCACAACAGCAAGGAACTCCCATGATTCCAATGGCGAACACAAGGGTCCGGCAACCAAACCCTACTCCGGCCAGGTGAATCGGTGCCAGGTGTCGTACCCGTGAGGTCGAACAGTGACCTGGCGAGCGAAGCAATTCGATCGCGACGCATCATCCTAGGAATCGCCGCTCTGGGCCGAAGCTACTACACTTCTCGTGCCCTTAACGGCTGCTAAGTGAAACCTTACCTTGCAGCACGCTTGAAAGCGCACGCTGACTAGAAGCCAACCTGCACATCGTCTTGTGCGCCCTCGAATTGTCTTGGGATTTCGTGAGGCTGCGGCAGTTGCTGTTCACATTCCGGGATTCGCACACATCTGGGCCCTCGACAGTACCCATTAGGACAGCCCGTCAATGCTGGCCAGGCTGCAGTGTCCGGAGGGTGCTCAGAGGCATGAGAGCCAGCTGTCCTTAGCAGCGAAGCTGGGAAACGGTACGATGCCGCCGCGTCAAGCGCTTCCTAGCGCCAGCCGCGCTATGGGTTTGAGATCGTGTGCAGCTGTGAGCTTCGAAGCACCGCATGTGTCAGTTGCGGGGCTTTTCGATGCAGCTGCGTTCGAGCTTGTATGCAGTGCATATCCTGCATCGGCTTAATGTACAAGGCCTCCGAAAGCCGGCAAACCAGAAATAGCAGACATCTGTTCGATCCAGGAACTAGGTCGGTTCTGCTCGGTTGGCTCCAGGGCTTCTTAGACTTGTGCCAAATTCGGCATGCGCGACACTGTACGATGCGCACAGTCACTTCAGTGCTTGGGGCTGCGGCACACTGCAGAATCAAGAACAAAATGCTACTTTGACCTTCGCAGTACTTCCACGGGCAGCACAAAGCCTGAGAGTATCTGCCAAGGCTCAGCTGAAAACAAGGGATCTCACTCGAGGCGGCCGTCGTCTCAGGGAACCTGGGAGACCCGGTGGACATCCGAGTGTGACTTCGAGATAGGAGTTAAACTTGTTGAATTCGGAGTGGCGAAACAGCAGTGCCGCCGAGAAGCTTGACATGTGCCTCGGGCAAAACCAACACCTGGCACTGGATAGAGAAATCGCTGGGCTTCGATGCAGTTGTGTCGAACTGTTTGCTAGCAGGCTGATTGACCTGGTCTCTGCCCGATTTACAGCAACTCTGTTGACGTGCGGATTGCTATGTCATCAGGCCGGTGGTGTTGCATTCCAACTGCAACATCAATGGCTTCCTGCGCAGGCGAACAGATTTGTCAAACTACTGGGGGTGACCTGCTTGGGCGAGCAGCTGTTCGTGAAGATCAAGGTGATGTCTCCTTCGGTGAGGCAAGAGGCATGTAACTGAAAATGCAGGATGAACACCTGCCGAGTTGCAACTCATCTGAGAAGTTCACAAGATATTCATGAACTGCAGCACTTTGAAAGTTGAATGGGATCAAGCTGCCAAGCCCCTTCGCTCATTTATCAGAGAATCTCTCCGCTTTGATTCCCGCTGTCATAAGCAGTGAGATCTAAAGACCAAGGGGCGCATGGCACGGAGATCTTCGTTGAATCTGGTCTGCACTTCTGCAATGTTCCGAAAGACGGCCTGGAAGCACAGAGTCACTCGAGGCACATGAAGCACCCGCTCCGGCTTGAGACTTAAGCTCAGGATTAATGACGTGGCCTCTGTCAGAGCATTGAGATCCTTGATGTTCACCTCACAGCCACCTGGCTCGGAAGGATCACATCTTCAGCGAGGCGTTGGGCATTGCGTTCAGGCTGCTGGCAAACATATCTACCTGAAACTCAGAGGCTGGAGACCACTCCTACGATGCAGTGCTGATTTCTCGGTGTGCACCGTTCTTTGCAAGTCCAGGTGCCGAGGGTCTTCAGCAGCTCTGACAACTCCTTCCGCGAGGGTCCTGGCATAGAGGACCCGAGCTGCGTAACCCTTCGAATGTATGAGAGAGAAGGAGATGGAGAGAGAGAGAGAGAGAGACAGAGACAGAGACAGGGAGCAAAGAACAAGAAAGAGAGATAGATCATTCATACCGTTACAAGCATCATGCTGTTTCATGCCTTTTCGTCATGATGGAGCTGGTGCTTGCACGGTATGTCCGCGCAGGAGGGGGACCACAAACCGCTCAGATCACAAAGATCCGCAGTCGCCGTGCAATACGATTGGTGGTTTCTGCTTTCGGCGATCTGCTTGTTGTGGCATCTCGCGGCCCCAAGCCTCCAAGAGTGGCGACCAAGTCGACGTACCAGCCGGCCGCCACGCCCTGCTCCTGCACAAGCAAAGCCACAAATGGTGGACATCGAAGGCGTCGTCCAAAGGTCTGAAAGTGTCGCCAAGGGCCAAGGTCTGCATCGCGTCTGTCTCTCTGCTTCTCCAGACCATTCGGACCCGCGCACCCAGGCTCCCTCTCGCTCTACATCTCTCTTCCTCCCTGCCCGATCATTCTTGCGACTTCGAGGGTCCTCTTGGCCCGGCCGTGTTCAAGGCAAGTTGGACAAGTTGGTCTTGAACCTATCACCCTCGGCCTCCAGCATGGTGCTGCATTTATCATTTTATCTTTATCCTCTTCGTTCACATATCCCGAATCTGTTCGGGACAATCGGCGGCCATAAAGAAAGGATCGGTGCAACATGCTCGACACTCACCCTTCGAAAGCTATTTTGAGAACTGGCTTGTTAACTGTAGCTCTTCGCCAAGCTTTGCAAGCAAACTCACGTAATTACTTCGTAAAGTGAGGGGATCGTGACGGGTGTGGCAAGATCCAAGCATGACTCATAAGAACTCCGTGCTGCCTTGCCTGCGCCGGTCCCGGTGCCACAAACGAGCCAATGGACAAAGGCGCGAGAGGACAGCTTGGGTCCTGCGGGCTTGACACGTGCACAAACTGTTTTCTGTTTACCTCGGACAATGACATTTCGCATCACTGGGCCGGCGATGAAATGCCTAAACCTATACCTAGTGCATACTTCAATGCAGCTTGGGGGGCGGGGGGGAGGCTGGGTCCAGTGCAAATGACGCGATCTCATCTCCGACCATGGGGGTGTAGCCCTGCTCGTCCACCTCGAGATCAAGGCCGAAGTTCTTCGGTGCTATGCAGGCGGAATCGATGCCGGTACTATCGTCCGAAAGGCTTCAAGGCTGAATTCCCAGTTCAAACACGTTGAAACACTTTCAGACTGGGGGCTGCTGAATGGCCGGCGGCGAAGCGCACATGAACGCTGCGCGGCTCGTCCAAGCACACCGCGGTGCACTGCCGGTCCTTCTCATTCAGCGTTGCTCAGCGTTGTGATCGCAAGATCGGCCGGAAATCTATGTCATGTGTCGATTGCTTCACTTGACCTTCAATTCGTGTGTCTTCGGTCTGCCATACACTCTTTCAGGAAGACTGCATGACGAGTGCTGCTCTTCAGACAATGGACACCGCAGTTTGTAAGTCTGCAAGAGCCGCAGCCACGTCCCCCGATATTCATCCTGAGGATGAGACCACCTACATGTTCGATTTGGGGAACAATGGCATCTGGACGAATGGCTTTAAACCTTACTGTAACCCTCCCTGTCCCTGCAGGACTAT